TGTGTGTGTGTGTGTATGTGTGTGTGTGTGTGTGAGAGTGTGTGTAATCCGTTAAGGATTAAAAGGACAAACATAACGCGTTGAGGGTAGTTAGGCAGCATACTTGTACCCGGACCACATTTTGATTGGAAACATGTTATAGAAATATGTGACCCAGGGGTAGAAAGACCACACACGAGGGGTGGGGGTGAGGGGGTAAGGGAGGCGCCGTTAGCACAGTACCTGTTGGTATCATGCTGTACTGCGTAGCGGGTGGCCCTGATTCGAATCGCAGACTGAGCGATCTTGAACTAGGCCGTTTTGTGGAGACTGCTTTATAAAAGGCTCTTCAACAAATCTTGGCTTTGGTTCTATGTATCAGAGATGGACGTTAAATTCTGAGGTGTAGCCTCCTTACGCGCCCACTTGCTATTTTTTGCCGACTCTTGGCAGAGCATTGTGTGCAAATTAGATATTTTGCTTGCATCATGCAAAATTTGTCGTGCAACACGATTTTCGTACATTCAGGATCTTTTGCCTTGCGTGGAATCTGCAGCTGCTCCTCGATTCCCCCAAGAAAACTCATAATTTTGAACTATAGGCATATTTTTGGTACCAATTTCATTTAATATTTGCTAGAAATAATTGTTTTACATACTTTTGAGCCGTTCTTAAAAGCAATTGAGGCCATAATTTCGATCTGAGGCTTCATGGCCTAGATTTGGACCTCTCTAAATCTAGGTCAGCTCTGTGTAGCGTCAAACCACAGACTCGAGATTTTGCCTGCCTTCGACAAGGGGCAAATGGATGCGCATCATTTTTCGTGCCTGTCATTCGGGCGATGACGTCACGAAAACGCATTGCCTGGAACGTGCAAAAAATTATAGTGGGCGTCCCACCTAAATAGTCAGACAACGTTGAAAGCGGTGTTACTTAAACTCATACATTTACTTAATTATAAATGGTGGCCCACCGATCACCGAGAATATTCAACAATACTAACAATATTATACTGATGTTTTGTCTATGTAAAATGACGTTTTTATCAATCTATATCATTTTCAGATATAGAGCCTCACTGCTTCTCATTGGATGACATGCAAAAGTATTACGGTAAATCTTCTATTCCACTTTCCCTATACATATATATGAGAGGTGTAACTCTCATGAAATTAAAGATGAATTTACCTTTATTTTGTAGCCATTGTTCAAGCTTCGTCTCCGTCAATCAAATTAAATTGTTTAACGTTCATACCCCCCCCCCCTTTGCCCATTAATAGAAATATGCAATAAGCCATGAGAAAATGTATAAAATGTACAACAGCCTATTAGTATACCATTTTATTATAGAAACATTTTGAAATAACAACACCTGATTTTAAGATGTTTTTGACATGTAAATATCATTTATAATTCATGCTGTTTTCACGGAAGTCTCATAATATGTAAAATGTGTGAATGTTTTATGTGATGTGGGCCAACGGCTTTAAACACTGAACACCAACATACCTCTCTCTTCCTACCTATTCCACTTTCTTCATTATCAGCCTTTCTCACTCGATGCCACGAACAAGAGCTGACCATGTATTTCTGTCCTGGGCTATAGTCTCCGCCTGTGTCCAGCTGTATCCCATCTCCTATAAGGTCAAATCTAAGCCCTACCTCCAAGTACAATGTATTTACGCCGTTTTTACGCACCGGTACCACAGCACCGAATGTAATAAGTTGAAGTTGAATCCCTCTTTGAGCTAACGATCTTTTTTTTCATTTCTCTTTTGTTGTTTTTACCTTCTTTGTTGTTTCGGACAAGTATACAGATTATTGCACGAAGTTTGCGTAAGCTAATACTAATTGTATAGATCTATTAGAACACTTTCTGGCAACGTTGCTTTAGTGGACTTAATTAAAAAAGATTCCCCCCTTAATCTCCGTTGTAATTTTGGTCAAGAATACAATTAAGCATTGTATGTCATTTGGTGTGGTCCGTTTCTTTTTGTTTTAGAAAGAGCTTTGCGGCACTGGCAACACAATAAATAGGCCGTAAGTGTCGAATCCGTTTCTTTCATGTAGTAGGTCTACAGTCAGTTGTACTCCCCATCTTTCTCTGACTCACCATCATCTTGCTTTTGCCCCTAGGAGACAAGTGCACAGTGAAGCTCTTCGACCAAGGCCCCTACCCATACGCGGATATGTTCGGTGAGAGCAGTGAGGCGGATGGGGGTACTGCGGGCTCCAGGGAAGGAGAGGGAGAGGAAGAATTTCCAGATTTCACGGGGGCTAACTACTATTTGATGCAGCCTAAGTAATCCTGTTTGATTGTTGATTTATAGTATGGCAAAACATTTCTTGGGCAACTTTTCCCCAAATACTTGTTTAACAGGTGAATCAAATTCACCTGTATTTTATACAGCAGTTTGAATCAGTTTGTGTCAACATCATCATGTTATTTTTCCACAACCACTGAGGCTAGGTTATTTTTAAAAACTCAATCCTTTTCATAAATGGGCATAAAATAGCTTTGGGGTTATTGTCCATACGTTAACCAGCAACTAAAATGCACTACGCCCCAAATTCGAAATCTTTGTTTTAATTGCATTTTCTTAGTCTGTGGTATCTGTTGTACAATTTCCAGAAAAAGTTCGTCGAAATTCAAATTCTAATTGTTTAAAAAGTCAAGAAAAAATACATGGCATGGGTACAATTGTTATTAGAATCAACATTCTTTTTTTCTCTTGTAAAATTTTGCTTTTTGGGTTTGGTACATTTTAACAGC